TGAATTGGGACATATAGTCAAGTGGACTATATGTATTAAGAGTTTTATATGATGAGGTCGAAAATTTTAAATATAATTATAAGAAGAATAGAGTTTATTATATTATCTATGAGTTAATGCTATAGAAACGTGGCATTGCTACTCCTAGTGACAAGAAAGCTACCTCAAAGTAATCCTTCCTAACTCATCTCAAGCAATTCCTATTGCTTTTTATTTTTGGTTTTGTGTAGTAGGGGTTCAGGTTGACCCGACGGGTTGCCGGGTTAACCCGGAAACCTGTTTAAAATGTGTTGCTGGCATCTGCCCCGGCTGCCCGCGCTCTGCCCGCCTAGCTGCCCACGCGACAACCCAGCAGCCTGTCGATGCCACCCGTGCGCGCTAGCGCCTGCTCGAGCGCTCGCCAAGACCGCCCACGCGCACTCCCGCCTGCCCTCGGACGCCCAAACCTACCCAGTTGCCCGCTAAAGCGCGCACCCGAGTCCTGCTGGCGTCAGCGACGTCTCGCCGCAAACTCACGTCCGCTTCCTGTGTCGGGTCAGATCAACCCGGCAACCCATTGGGTCGGGTCCGGGTCGAATTTCCGACCCGACCCGAGTTGGGTTAGGGTCAACCAGTTTGAACCTGGGTCAGTTCCGAGTTCGACCCGAATCCGACCCGTGACCCAATTTTGACACCCCTAAAATATGGAAATAGTACTAAAAAAAATGGAATTTATTGAATAATTTTGTCTACTTAATATGTTAGCTTAAAACTGAAAAATGAAGTGATTAGAGACCTGAATTAAACTGCTAGATATTTAACCTTTTCAAATACTTAAAATCCTCTGGCTCGACCTTCCGTCAAATCAAAAATGAATTAAACAATTAATACTTTTTTCCTTCACCAGAATATTCATATCAACTCCAAAAAATCTCTCAGAAGTAACCTTCTATGTAACATCAGACGTCTCATCTTTCCCATAGGTAAAGTCCAAATCAATATTAATGACTTTAGGATCAGTCGGTTTCAAAATACACTCTCCTTCTCATAAGAGACATTAAGTAAAGTAATTTCTACACACTTCTTTTTTGCATCTGCTACAGCAGCATCCCAAGATGAAGAAACTACCTTCTGAACTGGTAAGTGCATAGAAATAAAGTCATCATTTGAGGTATTCAACTCAGAGAGAGCAATTAGTTCTCCTTTCCTCATTGCAACAACATTTTTATTGAATTGATAGTCTCTACAGCAAGAAGATGAATAATCTCAGCAGGCACAGGAACTCTAGATTTAAAGCTGTAGCATCTAAATCCACCTTCAACTTCTTCAAGAAGACAATATAAAAGGAATGATATGATCTCTTGGAATACATGGCTCAAAGAAGATGAATAATCTCAGCAGGCTCACTTTGAAAAATTAAATATTTATAAACTTCCTAATAACGAGGGGTATATTTAAATAAAATTAAAATTCAACTCAGAAGATTAAATCTGAACCATCCACATGGTATCCAATTAGATGTTATAAATACACTTGGCTAACTGAATTTCATTCAACAATCAGATTCCACATGAAAGCAAATAAGCAATAAATAGGATCAAATTCTTGCCATTCAAAAAGATGAATCATAACCAATCACCGCTCATACAAGGTGATCTTTCAGGGCATCTCCAACCGAAATTCTCATTTTTCACTGCAAAATGCAGTAAAATCAAAAAGTGCCATGATTCATCTCCAGTGGAACGCAATTTTGCCCCCAAATCATCGCTCGTTTCTTTCGCGCCTTTCTCAGACGAGTTCGGTAGAGAGAAAGAAATGGCGCAAGTGAACAGTGTGACGCCAATATTGGGGTTGCACTGTTCAACTGAGATCAAACGGTTGCGACGTTTGAGGACCTCCATTCGGCTGTTTGCCGAACGGTTGGAGATGGTCTCAAAGAAAGGGACTCAGCCGTTTCATTTGGTGAAACCCTTCCAAAAGCATAATTTTCATTCCTCAATGAAGACAAAGGTTCGATCAGCATCCCTTTATAACAACGGAAATGTTTCCTAAAGGCTGACTCACAGGAACAAATGGAATCACCTTCCCAATTTTTTGCAATCCTATTTGTATTTGATAAATGTTCCCGGCTTAGATGAAAAGAAGGATTTCTCTCTATTACACAATAGATCTATGTCATAAGATCGAACTACTTATTCTTCTAAACCTAGTTATTTAATTTATTTGTTTTTATCAAAATCACAACAAAAAATTTCTTTAATTTAGGAACTCAAGAGAAGATTATATTTTCCTTCATATTCAACCAAATAGTCAAAAATCTATAAACAAAGTAAGTTTATTGCTTTTGATTAGTACAATATTAATGCAAACTTCAAGGTTTCTTCCATTTTGAGAAATGAAAAAAGTGGCATTACCTTCTAGCAAAAAGTGGAATTGGCATGACCTTCTAGTAACATAAAGCATGTTCTTCATTTTTAATTAGATGCATCTATTATAACCAACAACAATCTAAAAAGGCATGGACAAAGATCAAGACATTTAATCTTACAAAGAAAACTCTTGGTAAATATATCTCTTGGGGAGGCTTTAGAGAAGGACTCATTTCAGGAGTTTGATATTATCTCAAATAAGTTCCAGGCATTATAATTCCTCTCGAATATTTATTGCAGCATTTTGGGAAAAGACAGTACATGAATGGAAAACATACTACAACTATTATATCTATTGTTTACTACAAAAAATGTCTACTCTAACTTTAATATTTATGAAGGCTTAGTTCATCTTCCAACGATAACTATAAATATAACAATGACACATAATTGGTGGTTCACAAATAAACTAAAAAACACTACACTGCTACTTAATCATAACTCTTCCTCTCTTAAGAAGATTGATTGCACTTACTAATACTCATTGGTCGTACTCTGATTTCTGAAATAAATATTTAGTCTTGGCTTGCACAATAGTGGATGTAGGTCATTTGATCAAACGACTGCATATGTTATGCTTACTAATCCTGTTTTGATTATTTTTTCTTAGCCTCAACATTGAGTAACACAAGAATTTTTTCTTGAACTATTAACATTTGTACTCCTCTCATCTCAGGACAAAAACAAGTTTCCACCATTTATATTCTTCGTGCCTTCTATGAGAACTCAACTATTACTCTAATAGAAAAAAATAGTAGAAGAGAAAATTGACAATAATGATAATCAATTTGATTCCCAAGCACAACTTAGAATTATGCACTGTAAGCATCATATTAGAGAACCTTCAAACAATACATTTGACACTCAAGAATAACCGGAAGTCCGCTTCGTAGAAATTTGTCAGCATTTTACTACAGTGATTGAGGAAATGAATATAACCTCTACATTCCAACCTATATTGATTATTCAGCATACTCGCCCACCCAATAAGGAAAATGATGTTGTAATCAATGACACAACTTTTCACCCGCATACTATGATGTATGACTACCCATTCAAACTAGATCTTTTGGAGGAGATGGTCATGCTGAAGTTCAAGGCTAAAATGTGTTAAGATACTATTGACCATTCTAATCACATCAAGACATTTCAAGAATTTCTTATCACTATACAATATATTGGATGCTATAAAATAAATCCTATACACCTACACATTTAGGAACTTAGCATAAAAGTGTCTCAATCAACTTGTACAAAAAATTATCCTATTTGTTCTTTGCATAATGCCTTGCATCAAAGAGGCCGTTCAGGATCTTTCAATCTCTATTATATATTAAATAGATAGGCAATAGCTTGAGAGAATCTATGTTGAAGTTCAACAAGGCCTCCCATGAAGTGACAAGGTTAGGAGTCATTGGCCAAGTTCACATTAATTTGAGGGTTTCAACTAGAAAGCTTTAAATTCTCCATCGCTAAGAATCCTTCCAACACTAAATAATAACTACAATAATAATAATATTTCTTTCCATCCAGTGAAGAAAAATAGGAGGGTTGATTGTTCTAAACATGAAAATCAATTTAGAACACCACCTCATATGGATCTTAGGAGGCGCCAACAATTGGTAACTCTTACAAGGTACTTCGACATCGACCTACCTCCTTTAAATCAATCACTTGCCACACTCATGGCAATGATTCAAAATAGGGAGTGCATCAAATGGCAGGCTCCAATTAGAAAAATAGTAGAAGGTTTAGATAACTTTAAGAAAACGGATACGCGTTAGCCGGAGAAAGGTAAAGGTAGCTCGGGAAATTGAAGTCTCCGAGCTCCATAATTCGGAGTATGTACATCTCTATTGGTGGAGGTTAGTATTCTGGAAATTCTGTACTGTAACTAAATGAAACTAGATGAATGCCGCTTTGCGAACTCGATTGTATCTGTGCACCGCAGAAGCAGTGCAGTTAGATCGAGTTTCAGGCCTACTCAATGGGTAGAATGGAGTACGACTGGGTTCTCGATGGTCATACAAATTCACCGAGAATTTGGAAGTTCTAACTTTATCATATTGATGAGGACTATAATATCAAGGATTGTAGAGTATTTAGGCTCTACATAAAAAATTAATAAGGTATTGCTATCTTAAAAAGTATCTTGCCAACTAATTTGAGAATAAGCAACTTTAAGAGGGACAAATTGTTGTATCGCAGGTGTAGTCAAAATAATTTGATTAGGCAGATGAGTAAAAACTCTCCATAAATGAAAGTGAATATAGTTTTTTATCTAAATTTATATTAGAAACAGTAATATTATATGCGATATAATTTTTAATGTAATTTTTTTGGCTTTATATAAATTTGCTGTAAAAAATATGAGACTTGTATAACTTTTACTTTACCTTTTTTTTTAAGTGCTGATAATAAAAAGCCTATCGGCTATCATATTAAAAACTCATGAAAAAAATGTGGTTTACTTAGATTAATATTTTTTAAAATTTTTTAGAGTGGCGTATTTAAATGAGTGCATTTTCTGTAGATATCCTATGAACGGCTGGAGATTATTCATTCGCATATTAAATAGACAATAAATTTAGTAAAATTGACATGAGAAAGGGACGGTACGTACCGCGTACTTGTGGTTGATCAAAGTCCCTATATATAAGACCAGAGACGCCTAGATCGGACCAACTGACAGTCCAGAAAGCCAGTCGTTGATTCGTTTCCCCTCTTCCTCTCCTTTCACCACCGGCCGGTGATGGCCGTGGAGATCGCCGGAACTTGCTTGCATTGGTCTCAGCCGCCGCACCTCCGAGGCCCTATCTCGGCCAAAACCGTAGCCCACGCCATTTCTTCTCTCCTTTACACTTCCTTAAGCAACTCCCACGATCGCGTCATCACGCATAATACTGCCCATCATACACCCTTCCTCGGAACTGCCCTTCTTCATCACTGTCATCAAAGAGAATTAGTGAGAGGTGGAAGAAAAAGGGTTTCTTGCAGTGCCAACCTCGACGGCTTCGTTGATGGCGGCGAAAACGAGGAGGAATTTGTGAAGAGGGTTAACGAATTAAACCTCAAATTTAAAATCGAAGCCGAATCTCAGAGAATTCAAGATGCAGAAACCAGCAATAGTTGCGACGAATCAGCCCCTTCTTCTTCTTCTTCTTCTTCATGTTTGGAAGAAATCCATTCCATTCCCCCCGCTTCCGACTCGATTTCACCTCTCCCGATTTCAATAAACCCCGAAATTCCAGCGATGCCGCCGGAATCTTGGGCTGGCAGTGACGGATTCGCGTTGCAAAAGATGGAGCGGAGGGCAAATAGCTTCGATATACCCCTGTCGCTGCGAATTCTGCAAAGCAAGAAGAAACGATGGGAATCGGATGAGATGACGGACTCCGTCTACTCCTCCGTAATGAAAGCCTTCTCCTCTATGGTGTTTATAGTGCGCGAGCTCCAAAGCCAAGTGATTCGCATGCGAGAAGCCCTACTCTCATCCGACAATTTCCAAATCCAGGAGACCCTCGCAAGGGTCCATAGCGAGCTCCATGCCTCTTTCGTCTGGCTCTTCCATCGTATCTTTTCGTCCACTCCCACCCTCATGGTCTACCTCATGCTCCTTCTCGCCAATTTCACCGTCTTCTCAATCACCGACCACCATGCCGCCACCGCACCCTTGCCGCCACCTCAATCCCTCTCCGCCTCAATCGAAGAATCCCAAAACCCTACTCCTCGATTCAATTCATCCACCATCAAAACATTCTCCGTCTGCAGATCTTCCGCCGTCGGTGGAAACGGTAGTGGCGGTGGCAAGCCACCGGCGATCACCGCCTCTGCGGACGACGGCTCGGATCGGTCTTCATCTTCCTTGGGTGACGGAGGCATGATCTTCTCAAAGGCAATTTCGATGGCGGCTATGGACGAGGAGATGGCGACGGCATGGAAAGGGATAGTGGAGAATACGGCGGAGATGATTATGGCCAGCGGGCGGCACGAGTCGCTGATGGATCCCCACACGTTGCGGCGATTCGTGTCACCCGTTACGGTAGAGGCCGAGCCGGACGACTTATCGGCTTACTCTGCGACGGAGCTGTCGTACAGGATCGCACTCTCCGAGAACCCCGACGACGCTCTCCTGCTCTCAAATTTCGCCCAGTTTCTTTACACTGTTCGTCGCGACCACGATAGGTAAACTCTTGAATTATTCATTAAAAAAAAAAAACTCAATTTTGTGTACGAACAATAATCTGTTAACGACTTCACTAAAAAAAAAAAAAAACTTTATTCCTCCGAAATAATTTATGAAGGGCCTGTCTGGCGTATAAAAGGAATGCACGTATTTAAAATATTTTATAATAATTTAAATATTTTTTTATTTGAGTAAAATAAATATTATGTATACTTTAAAAATTGTGGTTGACGACTATGGTGGGCGGCCTTCAACGGCGAGTAGTTGATGGCGATGATCAAAGGCGGTTGACAGTGGCGGCGGGTGGTGTTGACGATGATAGTAGGTGGGCGGTGGCCAATAATTGACGACAACATTTAAATAAATTTATAGTGCATTTGAAAATCATTTTAATTTATACGTCAAATTTGAACTAGATATTGAATTCATACATTAAAATTTAATATTGTATTTATTTTATTTTAAATCAAATACAAATATTCTTGAAGCCACTAATGTTTAAAATTCTTTATACTCATTTTATTGCAAATCAAATAGCCCCTACAACAATTATAATTATTTTGAATGAATTTTAATACGAAATTATATTAGAAATAGCATAAAATTATTGATATGAATAATTTATATTATATTAATTTTAAATGAATTTAATACGTTTTAAATTTATTTTTCATAAAAAAAAGCTGGACTTAAATTTTAAAATAAAAAAAAAGTTTGAAGGTGAGTCTTAATTTTGTTCCCTAATTTTCCCCAAAAAAAAATCTTAATTTTGTTGTCGGGTGCTGAACAGGGCGGAGGAATATTTTAAGAGGGCGTTACGAGCTGAGCCGGCGGAGGCGGAGACACTATGCCGGTACGCGAACTTCTTGTGGGTGGCGAGGAAGGATTTGGGGGCGGCAGAGGAGACATTCTTGGAAGCCATTTCAGCAGATCCGGCAAACAGCTACTATTCCGCCAACTACGCCCACTTCTTGTGGAGCACCGGCGGCGAAGACACATGCTATCCTCTCGATGATCGTGATACGTAAATTTTTATTTTATTTTATTTTTTAGGTTAAATATTTACGTATAGTGGTCTTTTGTTTTTCTTATGCTCTGAGTTATTGTCCATTGGATTGGTTCTTTGGTTATGATTTCATCATATTTTGAAGGTAAGATCATCTCCAACCGTTCGGCAAACAATCGAATGGAGGCCCTCAAACGTCGCAACCTAACTCCTTTTCCTCCTCCATTTGATCTCGGATGAACAGTGCGACGTTAGGGGGCAAAATGACGTTCGATTGGAGACGAATCACGGCACTTTTTGGTTTCACTGTATTTTGGAGTGAAAAATAAAATTTTGGATTGGAGATGCCCTAAAACGTGTTGTCTGTCCTGATCTGAGGGCTGAAAGATTCTAGCATGTATAGTGGTAAATAGTTAGCTAAATGTTTCTGTTAAGAAATAAATCAGCATAATAAAAAAGCCTTGGTTAAGGATTTAATTACTGGGAGCCATTGGTGTCTGCGAAATTCTCTCACTCAATCTGTTGCAAATGCTATAAAAGCCATCCCTACTTATGATTCCTCTTCAATCTCCTTAACATGGGATAACTCTTCTATTGGGGTATTTGGTCAGTATCTCATAAAGTACTAAAATCCTAAGCATGTTATGGCCCTTTTGAAAGGCTCCATGGCTTCATATTGGCTATATGATGTTAGGTATCGTGCCCGCTGGTGGCTCTTTTTGGTTCTATTTGATTATTGCCCATTCGATTTTGCCTGTTGGGACTCTTTCTTAGCCATGGACGATGATGTGTACCATATTTCTGGCTCCCCTTGGATGGTCTGTGGGAAACCAGAGGTTGTTGGATGCTTCTTTATGATTTTAATTCATTGGAAAATAGACTGAGTCCTGGCTTTCGTGGGCTTTTTGGCGCTTTGTGCTCTCTCATGCTACCAACTTTAACATCTCTTTTGCTACTGCGTGGCTCTTCCTCCTTGTTTTTGTTGTTGTTCAAGTTTTAATAGATATGTATTTTCATTTGATTTTTGACTCTCTCGAGCTTGCTCCTCTTTTTTTCTGGAGCATTAGGTTTCTTTTACAGCTTATATTTTTGAAGTTTCATTAATATACGGGTTACGCCCAATATCTCCAAAAAAATGTTATATATTTAAATATTTTGAGTGGTTTGAATGAATATAAAATAAATGAAGATAATTTATTTTGTTAGAAGTAAAATGAATATAATGTAAATTAAATCAACCGCTTGTGGTGGCAATGACGATAGTTGCGAAGCTAGGTAGAGGTGGATGGTGATGAGTGGCAAGCTGCTTCGGGAGGCGGCCGGTGGTGACATGGAGGGGCGATAATCATTGAAAACTACAATGATAAAGAATTTACAATATATTTGAAAATCAAATAATTCTTAACTATTTTAAATTACATCTATATTGAACTAGATGATCAATTTCAAATATTTTAAAATTTTAATTCAAAGCAAACTCTAATATTTTCAAAATCATTATATTTAGGTTTTGTTTGGGACAACTCTCTTAATGCTTCTTAAAATAATACTTTTGTATAAAAATTAAAATTGTTATACTAATTAAAAAGCTATTTTAAGAAGCAATACGAAAGCCATCATAAATGAAACCTTAATCACTTTTACTTCAAATCAAATAATCCATTGCATGAATATCACATAATACTTTCTATTTACATATCTTACATAAAAAAAATTATTTAATTCCATATATAACACTTAAAACTTTTCAATATATCGAATATGACCAATTGACCCCACTACATTACTGTTTATCGTCCTCATTTATGATCGCCCCTTGCTTAATTACTGAGACAAATTAAACTAGCTTCATAGGGAAGTTCATGGTATGTGAAATATTAATACGACTGAAATTATTTGATATATTGGCCCTCTAACGTACCTGATGATATTTTAACCAAGACGCATCAAAATAACTAATTTGGTTGTTTTGTGTTTCAGGGTTACGGCTGGGATAACTTTTTTCTTGTTTCTTAAAACATTTTTTTTAGTAAAAAAAATAAATTTTATTTTAAAAAACTGTTTTAAAAATAATAAAAAAACCGTCTCAAACAAAATCTTAGAATTTACATCAAAATTCAGCCAATCTAATCCATATAATGAGCAAGAGATTAGATGTAACTCACAATGGAATGATGTAAATCACGGTATACTATGCATGAAATATGCAAGTAATAAAACTAACCAATCAAATGTAAACTCTAAGGCTTAGGCTTCCTTTGGGACAACTTTTTTATTGTTTCTTAAAACGGAGTTGTAGTACCAAAATTAAAAGTTTTGTACTAAAACTCTGTTTTAAGAAGCAATCAAGAAGCCGTCCCAAACGAAGCCTTAGTTTGGAACGATTTTCTTGCTGTTTTTTAAAGCAACTTTCTAGTATAAAAATTTTTTGACCTAGAAATTTATATACAATAAAATTATTTCAAAAAACAGAAAGAAAGCAGTCCCTAATGAGACCTGAAGCTCTACAATGTATATGTGAGAGTGTACAATATATACTAATACTATAAGCACAACGATGAAAATTATATTCAAAATAATAGCATTATTAATTTTTTTAAGTAGAAGACACAACCTACAAGAAAACAAATTAAATTTTTTTACTAAAAATTTACTTTAAGAAGCAGTAAGAAAGTCATCCGAGAGAAAACCTAAATCTCAATGTTAAGATGATTCAGTAACATTTGAATTTGATCTTGTAAACATCACATGTACGTAAGAAAAGCAATAATGTTTTCTCTTTACAAACTAATGATTTTCTTACAGTAAAAGCTAAAAACATTCATAAGGCAGGAGCAAAAGATGAAGCTCAGTGGATCCATAAAATATTGAATAAAGTTGATGCCTGCTTTCGCAAGAAACACATGGGGATGCTTTGCAATATCAAATATGTGGGCAGGCTGTTATGGAGCCAAAGGTAAAACCATTAAGAAAACGCCATCTTCATCATTGTTGCTGTGATGAGATGTCAGCGAATATCGCAAAAGTTATTCCAGTTTAGGATAATATAATAATAAGCCTTCGTTTCAAATGGACAAAATGGTGAGCAGCCAATCTTTTTCAGCTTGTTTGTCGGTATGATATTTATATATATATTGAGTTTATTATATCTTTTTTATTATATTATAGATAGTTAATCATGTAAGAGATATGTATAATATTGACTTTTTAGAAGGAAGATACGGGTGATTAATTTAATTTTATGTTTATAATGTTTTAAATAAGATCATATAAAAGAATAAAAATTTGATTTTGATGAAAATCGATATTAATTTAAAGCTCATCGAGATGATTTATATCCTGACAAATTTTTTTATACCGAACAAGATTATTAAGATTATTTTATTCTTTTTTTGGGTGATGGCTTGAAGCATCCTTAGTAATTTTTTTGTAGGTTTTTTATGATTATAATTAGGTGGGATTTTTGGCTTCTAGGTTTTTCTTTATTTTTTTTATTGTATGCTCTTCTGAGCAGTTGCAAAACTTAGATCCCTTTTAAGAACATGTAATTTTCTTTTAATCAACACGTAAACCCGTCTGTGAGTCCCCCCTCCCCCACAAAAAAATATCCGGATATAAAATGCAACAAAATGAACTTCAAGCTGGCTGAGATCTGTTCAATTAAAGATCTATAATATTTATCCTATTCAAATAAATAAATAAATAACTGAAACAAAACTATAAAAAGTTAACTGAATAATATTTTAGCGCACTTAGATTTGGTTCTCATTTACACTGCTAAAATGGAATCACATACAGCACACACACCTAATTTTCAAGAGCTCCATTTGGAGACACTGAGAACATGAAAAGCTAGAAACAATAATGAATCATAATCCAAGGGAAGAGAGGCGAGGGAGAAAAAGACAAGAAGAAGAAGCCCAAATGCTAAAATTTGCAGAGGGAATTATTCAATTCATCATAATCATCAATATAAATATAATAAGGGGAAGAGAATATTACCAGGATATAAGTAGGGTGGGTAGTTATCCACTTAATTAATATAAACGAGGGTTGTAATTCACTCAAACGACGACTCTTCAAAGCATGATTTTAGAGTCATGGATTGATCCTTTGTACTTGGGCCATGTGTGCTTATTTATTGGCCCTAGATTATGAATTAGAAATTAAATTGGAGTGATAATGTGTGTTATCTTTAGATATTTAGTTGAACAATCATTATGTTAGCTATTAAAAGTGTAAAATATCAATTTCATGACATTTGAATCTTACATATATGTTTGATAAATAACATATTGAACCTAAGAGTTATATTATAGAAGTTACTTCATAAACTATATAGGTTGACTAAACTCGCACACCACCATTTGTATTGAATGTTATCTATTAGATAAATGTATTAGAATGCTCTTTTATAATTGCAACTTAATAAGTACAATGCTTATCCATCTTTTTCATCACATAAATATTATAAGAAAGCTAATTGCATGGGGCACCTAATATATAAGGGTCATATTAGTGAAGCCAATTCATGAAATTTATATGTCAAAATTTTATTTTGATTTATCGACTAAATATGTCCCTAATCAGCCTATTCTAACTGCCATCCAAGTAAGATTTTCACCGATTATAATATCCCAATAGATAATGCATCATAACAAATATTTATTATAACAATTTAAGATGTCTCAATCACTAGCACTTTTTATAATATTATTCACATTATCTATTTTTTTAATAAAAATTACAATATTAGTACAAAATGATACAAGATAACATAAATAACAAACAAGATTATAGAATCAACATAGAAGAAGCAAAAGTTGCTCTCTATCTAAAAATTTTAAGAATTTGTGTGTGTGGACAGTGAGATATTGTCAAATTTAGAAAGAACTACACTACTTAGTACCCCGTCGAAACTTCAAAAAATATTCAAACCAAACATGATTTGCCAACCTATAACACCTCGATCTCCTCAATGTTTAGGAAGAAAAAAAAAATCTCTCTATATAGAAAGAACCACATTGATTGCTAAAGATAAATAATAACTACACTCAACTCTTTCCAATTCTAGCTTTCCTCTTTCCACACATAATGCCCCGCACTTGGCTATCCAGTTAATTATATAAAACCCCATTATTAGTGCATTTCCTGAGCTCCTCGTGGCATCTAATTTAATCTCAAAATTAAGTTAAGAAGCATGGCTAAAGGCTCTAAAATTCCAACAAGTTTCTCGTAAGCTAGACGATAGTTGCTTGTGGCTCATCTAATCTTTGGAACAAATTAATCTTCATTGACTAGAGAAATTATTCTGTGGGGACGCCGAATATTGTCTGGAGACCAATCAGAATGAGTCACGTCAGTATCGCGGCTTGGTACTCCTCGGTATTGTGCTCATTATTGCTGACGTGGCTCATTCTGATTGATCTTCGGATATAGAGCTACATTTGATGTCCGCACAAAATAATTTCTTCATACTAAGAGTAAAACACCAAACTTTTGTAAACCAAGCTCTGTTCTTCTGATCTCGAGAGATTAACTATGCGTTACAATATGCATGATCGATGCTATTATGGCAACTTGATCTATTTTGTAAAGCAAACAACTATGATGAAGCATTCAATTAATGTGTCATTGAATGTGTTTAACAATAAATTAAAGCCCATAACCTCTTTCCTCCTATGGATAACTGCATGTTGTCTCTTCTTCTTTCCTTAGTTTCTATATATGCCCATCTCATCACTCTCTTCTCTCTCTTACTTATTAATTACTTATTAGATTAATTAATGGAGGAAGAAAATACTTTTCTTACTAGTTCTCAGAGTAATCAACTTCTCCTTCAGCCATTATCTCCTCTCATAGTGCCATTGGAGAGCTCTTTACGTGAAAAAAAGCAAAGTTTGCTCATGCAACGTGAAGGCTTTGCTGGTCTACAAGTTTTCTGCTATAATAACGGAGGAAGAGTTGATGAGATGGATTGTGCAACTGTAGATGGAGAGAAGAGCGTAGAAATACCTTCTTCTTCGTCTGCTATGGAGGTTTCTATTGGAATAGTAAAAGGCCAGTGGACAATTGAAGAGGACAGGCATGCAAATATACATGTTTTTCTTTTTTTTTTTTTATGCCTTAAATTAATCTCTTTATTGTTTATACACTGCATTTAATTATAATTATTATTACTATTTCTTATAATTTAGAATGCTTATTCATTTGGTGAAGCAACATGGAACAAGGAAGTGGTCTCTAATTGCTAGGAAATTTATCGGTAGAATTGGCAAACAATGCAGGGAAAGATGGCATAATCATTTGCGCCCTGATATTAAGGTGGTATTTTATTATTCTTTCTTATATAATGTTTATATAGTTTTACCAATTTTTCATAAAAATGTTTTGTGTTGATGTGATGATCGATTAGTTCAAAGAATAAGATTTTATTTATTTATTTCAGAATTAAATTAGATATTTGATGATCAAATAATGAAAAAGGAAATTAAGAACTTGTTTCAAAATTAATTTGTAGACACTTTGAATGGCAACCTTTATTTATGTTTTTAATATTAGGGGGTTTGGTTCAACCCCTCATATATGTGAAATCATATATAAGCATATATTTTCTATGTTAATTTTCCTATTTCTTTCTTAAAATATTCATATGATCATGGGCCCTCTATTTAATGAGCTATATATTAGGTTAGTTAATGGATTCAAATGACTAAAATTTTTGTGTTGTGTTTTTAAATCTAATTAAAAAACCAATTATGATTTTATTTAGCAAGTTATTATAGAAATTTACTATTATCTATCCAACTCATTGACCAAATAAAACCTTGAAAAAAATCAAAATTAAATGGCTAGTGGCATATTATATAGGCTCATGTTCATTATAAACACTAGAGTAGTAATAAAGCTTTGGTTGAATGAAAAATAAAAGCTTTGGTTGAATAAATTGTTGAGATGCAAAGCATATTATAACAAGAAAATAATAATAATAACAATAATTTTCATATATGCAAACAATCAATCAGCTTCAATTTGAGTACGCAGTTCATTTGTAAACCCCTACTTAATAGTTTATAGATAACTAATAATGTGAAACTCCTTAAGTAAAAGAAGCTAAACTTTTAAATATCGAGATGTCTTTTGGTATAATAGTTGGAATTTCATTTAAGAAACTCCGCAGTTAAGCGTGCTATTCCCATAGCAATTCAGGGATGAGTGACCTATTGGGAAAATTTACACCAACAGGGCAAAATCGCGAGACTCTTAGGTCAAAGCGAATAATATCTCAATAGTTAAGAGTTTGAGCTGTTACAATCTCATTCATCTCCCTTTAGACTATCATCGACCTGAGCTAAATTTAAAACTACACCCAATGCTCCTCACTCACAATTTGGTGCTGCACCATTAGATGATGATCATGATCATTCTCCTATTAATAAATTCACTTTAGAAGTTGTTCTATCTCCCATCTCCTTCACCCCATCAATAAATTCAAAAGACTACTGTTGCCATATTGCTAACAGAATTGTTACTATGAAAGAAAAGTTCATGACTACTATTGTCTTAGCCTCTTTATCAGGCTTGGTAAATTATCAAAATTAATACATATTAGTTTTCGCACCTTATTTTATTAGATCTGAGGATGAGGAATTGTTGGCAAATTTTGACATCTTAAATCAAAATTCTAATGTTTAGTATGGAATATGCAAAATGAAAATTGTGTAAAGGGCCCTCGTTACTCTAAATTTTTTTCTAAATCTCTTATGTTATATGATTGACCTAAATGGGAAATGGAATAGGACTACGGCTTTGTTTGGGACGGCTTTCTCTATGCTTCTTAAAGCAGCTTTTTAGTATAAAAATATTTAACTTTGTACTAAAAAACTGCTTTAAAAAGTAGAAAAAAAGCCGTCCCAAACGAAGCTTAAATCTCACTCCTCTTCATCTACTCTTTTATTTTAGATTCTACTTTTGTAAATATCATTTCAAGAATGATAATTATTTGTTTTAGAAGAAGTAAAAAAAAAACATAACTATCTCCATATAATAATTTCTCCTATCCCTTACAATTGAAAATTCAAACTTCTCTTTCTCCTTAGGAAGTGGCAAGATAGAGTTCATTAGATAAGCCCAACTTACAATAAACTTAAAAACAAATAATAATAATAATAATAATAATTTATATGTTGAAATTTTTATTTTTTTGTGGCTTAAAATAATATAAATGTAATATAAAGTAAAAAATTGATGGTGGTTGGATGGTGAGAGTAAGCGGATGGAGGTGGCAGCCAACGACCAATGAGGGGCTGGTGACGGAGGACGGCCAAGGTAAGTTGTGGCGGTAATAATGATAAAAAACTTATTGTATATTGAAAAAGCTAAGTACTCAAATATAACTATTTTCTAATACACTAAAATTATAATAGATTATGAATTTCAAATACATCAAAATTTTACTACATATTTCTTTCAATTCAAATATATTTTCAAGACCTTCACATTTAAAATTCTTTATATCTCTTTTACTTCAAAATAAATAACCCCTAAAGTTTGTTTATTAGAAAAAATTCATTGATGCTTTGAGAGTCGTGAAATACATCAACATTCACATCATGGAGATCGAATCTTTGACCACGATTAATTATATCTCTCTTAGTGTATATTTCTTTCAATGTCTAATATCTTGCAGAAGGATAGCTGGACTGAGGAAGAAGAGAGCATGCTGGTTCAAGCTCACAAGGAAATAGGAAACAAATGGGCTGAAATTGCAAAACGCATTCCAGGAAGGACTGAGAACTCAATAAAAAATCACTGGAATGCGACAAAGAGAAAGCAAAGTTCAAATAAAAAACTTAGAAGAAAGGCCATTCATGGAGATGCCGGTGCTTTTAAGCTCACAGCTCTGCAAGAATACATCAAAAGCAAGACTTTAAGCTTACCTGATATTACCCCAACTGCAACTTCCCCATCCACTTGCCATTCGAGCACATCAAATGAATTCCTTCTTCAACCACCTCAGCCTGATGATTCTGAGCTCGCAAGCCAAATGGTTGAGGAGTTGCTTTCCATGGAAAAACCAGAGATCATGAGAGGTTTAGATGAAGAAAAACGAGATTTGTTGGGTTGTTCAAAAGTTGAGTTTGTTTCTCAGTTCTTGAATACGGAGGAAAGCTTTCCTTCTCCTTCCAATGTTACTTCTGCTGGTTTAGAGACTCAAAGTGGAAGTAACTTACAATGGGATTTCTATATATCCAATCTACTTACGGGACCTTCTCTTCCTACGATAGAAGAGATTGGGAGTTTTAACGCTGATAAGGTAACAGGTGCTGATGGTGCCCAGGCTTCACCTATAAGATCTGCAGATATGGATTTGATGGAGATATTACATTGGCATTTGTCACGTTTGCCGAGCAAAACTTTTGGCGGATATTGATTTTATTTTTAATTTCTGAGAAAAATAGCTGTTGGAGGTAATTTACTTTATGATTCAAGTCGGATTTAGTTTAGAGGTTTTTAATTAATTTTACTGCAATGGAGAGTTCTTCTGTAAGCCTTTCTTGTGAATGAATAAGCCGTAGATCTCATCAAGGAGAATATTTTGTTGATCATATTCCAGAGAGAAGCCATCTTCAGCAGAAGGATTTCCCTGCCTCCAATTTAAAATTTGAAAAGGGAAGATTATTTTTGTGTAAATTTGTTATGATTATCTTAATTCTTAACGGCCATGTTTTGTGCTATCGTAACGGTGATAAGCTTTCAATGCATTTGCTCTTGAAAATGGTAAATAGTGGCAACAAGCAGAAATTCAATACAAGATCTAATCTGAGAAGCGTTGAGAAACTAAACTTCTAATTTATATACAACAAAAAGTCACACTATTGAATCTCAAAAAATGATTTTTTTAATATATATCATCCAAAAATACTTGCATAATTTGAGGTCTATCTACAACAACATTTGACAACAAAAAAATATTAAAAAAGTAAAAACCAAATTAGCAAAAAGAAAACTAATAAAAAAGCATACTTATAGCTTAGATCATCATAGTCTAATATCAAAATTGCTCATCTCATACCTTATCATTTCCCTAGCATGAAAATAAAGTAGAAATAAGAGTGAGCTAATATGGCTCAATAGGCTACGACAGCCTAAAACAAAAATAAACATCTTAAACCAAAAGAAATGAAAATATTGAAATAATTAACTAAAGTATTGTATGGAAAGCTGAAGCTAAAACAAATACTGATACTGAATGCATTTAAATAACTATTGAAATTGTATTAAGACTAATTGGAATATAAACAATCACTTTGTAATTATCAGGGTAGCTCTCAGACCCCAACTTCTCATATATAATAATTAATAAATTAAATTTTTCTCCACCAACAAAATCCCTTCTTAATAATATAACCCTTAGGCTCCATAATTTTTAAAACATAACACATAACAAAATCTATTCTCGTCGCCAATAGAATCCCTTCTCGCTGTCGATTCAAAATTTCAATCACAAACATTGAAAATAAAGTATATTTTACATATGGGTGTTAAAATGATTATTCAGGTTGGGTTCAGGTCTAATCCGAAACTGGCACAACCTGCCTCTAACCCAATTCAACCCGACCAGACCCATCGACCTGATTGGGCGCGACTATTAATGGGAGCAAGCGAGACTGTGCTAGTGGGCAAGTAGGTGTGTGGGCGAGTTCAGGAGAGAGTAAGCACAACAGATGTACGAGCAATGGATAGACTGAGAGGATGACTTGTACCGCGACGTACGAGGATGACTACGCGACGAACAAGTTAATTTTAGATTGATGTCAGGTTTTCAGGTTGACTTGAACTCGACTCGAAATTGCAATCCATCAAGAATATGAGACTTGAACTCAAGCCATATCCCGAATGGGTTGACCTAAACCCATAATTTTCAGGTTCATGTTTGTGTCGGGTCAAATATATATCGACACCCCTAATTCAACACAATTAAAATAATTATAGTATTATTGTGTAATAAAAAAATTTCTTTAATTGCTGTCAAATAATTTCTCATCCAGTATTCTATTGTTTGCTAAAATTAAGTTTTCATAATTCTACCACATTAGTACATTACCATCGATTATGTATAATAGCATTCTAAAGTTTTAACTGAGCAAAAGTATTTTTTAGATGTTAAAATAAATATCTAAATTGATAAAAATCATTGTATTTTAAAATGACCATACAAAAAAACTTTAATAAATATTCAAAATGATCAGAACAGTCATATCAATAACATATCAAAAGTCACGCAGATAAAATTAAGTTACAAGAATTTGAAAAAATCATATTTTTGTAAAATCAAATTATAAATCCATAAAAAAATCTCAAAAAATTGTAATTTTTTAAAAATTGGGATAAGCAAAATATAACATACCTCGACCCAAATAACTTTTGAATTGGGCCAACAAGTGAAAAAGACTCTTCTCTTTAAGATTATGCTCCTCTCTCTTGGCTGGTAGCTTGCATGAGAAGACATGGAATTGAATGAATAGTGAAAAAATATATTTTTTATTGTAGAATTTTGGCCTAATCTCGTGATGCCACTATTCCAATGATAGGGCTAGCTCTTGAAGAAAAAAACTTTAGATTTAACAAATATAAATTAATACCTCTATAATATGCTTCATAACACATGCATGCATTCTTCATATATACAAATCATTTTTAAACATATGCAAGAGAGTTCAAATAAAAAAAATTAACAGGTTACTTGACTTTTAGTCGAGTTATACTGGTTTGAACATTACTCTGATCATGAAAATCTCACAACTCTCCCCTCATGAAACATGATCATCGACATTTTCAAACCAAAATAAGTCAAAATGAACATGGATATGGTTGTCTCATCTCATGTTTTTTATCCCAAGTAACATCTCTTGCAATGTTATGTTTCCACGGTGCCTCTTCTCACATGACAAGATCGCTGGACAATCTTTCCATATCAACGCCCTACAATGGCAACGACGACATCACTCTCGGCGACGGGAGCTCGGTTAGCATTGCAAACTCCGGTAAAGGGTTGCTATCGACTCCCTCTCGTAAGATTACCCTATCTAAAATTTTACATTCTCCGCATCTTAAATACAATCTTCTATCTATTTCACAACTTACCAAGGATAATGATCTTGAAATAACTTTTGACTCTTCTGGATTTCTTTTTAAGGATCCGACGACGCAGCAAATCCTCCTTCGAGGACCATGCCGTAACGGCCTGTACACAATACCTAATACTGCAGCTTCTCTTTCGCAGACTTCTCTTCACTCCAGAATTCATGAGTTCAACCCGTGGCATACTAGACTCGGCCACCCCAATAACAGAACATTGGCTCGTATTGCTTCGCTCTATCCTGAGCTCAAGATTGGTCCGAACACTATGTCGTGCTCATCTTGTAATACGTCTAAGAGTCATAAACTGTGTTTTGATCTTTCTCGACATAGATCTCAATTTCCTTTAGCTTTACTTCATAGTGATGTTTGGGGACCGGCTCCCACACCGTCTAATACTGGTTACTTGTATTACGTCCTCTTTATTGACGACTATTCGCGCTTTACGTGGCTGTTTCCTATGCATAATAAATCTGATGTGTATAACATTTTTCTTGCGTTTAAAACTAATATCGAACTGCTGACTTCTCACAAGATTAAATGTCTCAGGACCGATGGTGGTGGTGAGTATGCTAATAGTAATTTGCTCAATTTTCTTCGCTCTCAAGGGATATCTCATCAAATGTCGTGTCCTCATACTCCGGAGCAAAACGGAGTATCTGAACGAAAGCACCGGCATATAATTGAAACCACGCGCACTCTTCTCCATCAGGCGTCGGCTCCCTACAAATTCTGGCCAGATGCAGTACACACTGCGGTGTACCTAATAAATCGAATGCCGTCCGCAAACACTGAACACAAGTCTCCGTTTGAGCTCTTTCACCGCATCAAACCTGATTTAAGTCATCTTCGTACCTTCGGGTGTGAGTGTTTTCCTCACATTCCGCCAAAGTTTCGACACAAATTTCAACAAACCGCCAAGTCTTGCGTATTCCTCGGTTACTCTGACAAATACAAGGGATATCGATGTCTTGATGTCGCAAACAACCGTATTATTACATCTCGTCATGTTACGTTCAGTGAACTCTCCTTCCCCTTCAACCGCAAAGAACCTGTCTCCGCTCCATCTGATGGCGACACACCTCCGTCACTCTTAATTCCTACATCTGCCTCCTATACCTCTCAGGCCATCACGTCCAAATATTCCACTCCTCAGATGGGCTGCGCTCCGTCACCCGCCTCTTCATCTCAGCAATTGGGTTCAAGCAACTATTTTGAAGCCAGTACAACTGAACCTATCATTCACATGATTCCTCCCAAGACTCATCCCATGGTTACTCGAGCCAAAACAGGCTCCTTAAAACCTCGCCAACGATTAAATTTGATTCATACTGACTCTTTGGTTGATATTGCTACAGATCCAACTAATTTCCAAGATGCCTACAAACATTCTCATTGGAGGCAGGCTATGGCTGCTGAATTCTACGCTTTACAACAACAAGGCACGTGGAGTCTTGTACCGCGACCTCCTCACTCGTCCATACTAGGATGCAAATGGACGTTTCGTACAAAACGTCACACAGACGGGTCAGTCGCCAAATACAAAGCACGACTTGTTGCCCTTGGAAATCATCAAGAATATGGCCTGGACTATACCGAAACATTTAGTCCAGTCGCTAAACTCCCGACCATACGGATTCTTCTCGCAATCGCACTCAACAACGATTGGCCTGTTCACCAACTCGATGTGGCCAACGCATTTCTGCATGGTGAACTCTCGGAGATCGTTTATATGAATCAACCTAAAGGATTTGAAGACTCCACATATCCAGATCATGTATGTCGTCTTCATAAAGTCATTTACGGTCTCAAACAGGCTCCCCGGCAATGGTATAACACGTTCACCTCTCATCTTGTCTCTCTCGGTTTTTCTCATAGCACCTCCGATCCTTCGCTGCTTATTTTTCGCAAACAACAGACCAAAATATTTATACTTATCTACGTTGATGATATATTAATAACGGGAAATAACTCTGCTGTTCTCAATAATATTCTGGATCAACTTAGCATCAAATTTGCAATGAAAAAACTTGGAGACGTGCACTCATTTCTTGGTCTTAAAATTGACAGAATGGCTAACTCCTATTTTTTATCTCAAAAAGCCTACGCAATGTCGATTCTGCAGCTTGCCAATCTCTCTAACTGTAATCCTCTTGCAAATCCCTCATGCACCAAGCTTCCGAAGGATCTGCAACCCGATACAGCTCTATCCGATCCCGTTCTTTATCGTCGGATCACCGGCTCCCTTCAATATCTGACTCTCACTCGTCCGGACATCTCGTACAGCGTCAACTGTCTATCACAATATATGCATCAACCTCTTCCAGAGCACATCTTTCTGCTCAAGCGACTACTACGTTATCTCAAAGGTACACTCAATTTCGGTCTTCCTATCAATAAATCTAATTTGTCTCTCAAATCTTTTTCAGATGCTGACTGGGCCGGCGATCCCAAATCTAGAAAATCAACGTCAGGCTACTGCTCTTACCTCGGTGACACTCTCATCTCATGGACAGTCAAGAAACAGACAACAGTGGCTCGGTCCTCCACTGAGTCCGAATACAGATCCTTGGCCGCCCTTGTTGCCGACGTAATTTGGCTTCGCAGAATCCTAGCAGATTTTGATATTCCTCAAGATCAACCCACGGACATATTCTGTGACAATACTTCGGCGATCGCACTAGCTAACAATCCGGTGTTTCATGCACGCACCAAGCATATAGAAATAGATCATCGGTTTGTCCGCGATCACATTCAGCAACAAAACATTCGCATCCTACCTATCAGCACTATTGATCAGGTGGCAGATATATTCACAAAGTCGCTTTCTACTCCTCGATTTCAAGCACTCCGCCACAAACTGAGTGTCATGCAAGACCCATCAGTTTGCAGGGGGGTATTAGTGCACAACGGACAAACAGCACCCTTAAACATATAGCCTTTTTGTATTTCCTATTTCTTGTTTAGCCCTCTGTGTAACCGGCTGTCCAAAGCCTATATATAGACCTGTACTGTAAGCAATGAATGATATAATACTTTCTTCTCTCTTTACTTTGTCGCATTGGTTCTTGTCTCCTGGCCATCGTTTTCCACAGGTCTCCAATGATATTTCCTGTGGAATGAGAAGAAAAAAATGTTTCTTTATCACTACTGCCGTTCTATAACTATGTTCAAAATGCATTTTGTTGAGAGTAGACAATTGAGGACACCATAGTTGGCATTTAACTTGGCATGCTTCCTTTTTTAGTTTTCTTAAATATTTTAACACCTATTGGAATCTACCGGTTAGGTTTAACCCAATCTATGCAAAATCTACTTATGTTTAATTGTCTAAGTTCTGCTCATCAACATGATTAGCCTTATCCTAACTCATTAGGTTTGGTTTTATAAATCTTCTTTCTTCATTCATTCTTGTTTAGTGATTTTTGAGGCATTGATTAATTTTTTTTGGTATAACTTCTAATTATGTTATCTATATGCTCTATCCCTTTCTTTTCTATTCCTTGTCCATTAATCTTCTTCACTATTTTATTAGCGCATCTTCAATTTTCCACACTTCTTATTAGTGCACCATCCACTCTATGTTGTGTATGCCTAAAAAAATTATTTCTCACCATTTTATCTTCAATATATTTTACTCACAAAGGAAGTCTATTTGTGACTTTGTAGCTTTACTTTTTGAAGTAACTAGCTACTCTTCTAGTTACTTAAAGTGTGTTCTCGATCGCAAGATCATATGATATAGGAAAATCATGCATAACTTCTCCCATAATATTTCTATATCTTACTTCACCACACCATAGATCTTCTCATATACCATCATAGTAGAGGCTTCTCTCCTCTTAAATTCTGTTTGGAACTAAACCAAGAAAAACAATGGAGAAGAAAACAATAAAGAAAAATATGGATGAACGAGACATTTCATTTTCAAGGCTTGAATTGTATGGAAATGCTCCCGACCAAGTTTATTATGGTTTTTAGGTTAAGTGAAGGGTTAAGATATGTGATACGTCATCGTTGAGATCCACACCAAAAAATTCAACCTTTAAGGGTGATGGTTGGATGAATAGAGCCCTTTAGCTTTGTGATTCATATTGTCGAAGATTGAAATCAAGCTATACGATGACTCTTAGATCGATATTGTGTGTAATCTGAGTTGGACTATTGGATTTTGTTGATTCTTTAAATCAATGTTTGATTTTATCAAATTGATGGAATGGTCTTTAAGCTTCTTGAAGCGATATGATTGTCATTATCACTTCATACCATTAAATGAAGATCATAAGATTATGAATTTTGACATCCTCTATTGAACTACTGGAATCTATCAGAAGCAATTAAATTTTATGTACACATGATTAATAATCCAATATTTGGACATATAGTACTAATTTTAGTCAATATGCATGATATATTTATTTATCTATATGTACTTTAACATTTTAATATCTTGGTGACATGTCCTATGTCTTTGGAGTACAATAAATTTGGCCTCCTATAATTTGTCTTGAAAAATGACTCTACTAAATCTTCCTCCCATGTTTTCCTAATTGTCAGAGGATTGGAAATTTGGTGCATTGAGAATCTCAGGCCGGTCCTGGTTCGGAAGTCCTCACATGGAAAGTTCTTATCTGGAAGTGCATATATAGTCTTGAATGTAAGTTGCTTACACTGGTTTTTTAATCTCTTTTACTACACGTCATGTTTGAATATCACTTAGATCTTCTGTTCCCTGAAATGCTCAAACTGAGTAGCAGTTTCAATCAAAGAATAGTAATTCTTCAGTTCATTGTACCACATAACAGACGGCTATGCTTAGAAGTGGAAATTATCAGCATGATATACATTACTGGGTGGGGAAAGATGCTGAGGAGGTTTGTCAATAAGTAAACTTCAATCTTTAAGTGGTATTTGTAATTTGTTCTGTAATCATTCATCATATTAAGCTCATTATTATGAACTTTAGGATGACTCCACTATGGCTTCAGATAAAGCCCTTGAGTTGGATGCAGTATTGGGATCTCGTGCTGTCCACTATAAGGAGGTTCAAGGAAATGAAACGGAGAGGTTCTTGTCCTATTTTAAACCTTGCATCATACCTATTGAAGGTGTTTTCACTTCAGAACTACAAGGTGATAGGAATGGTGCATACCGAATTACATTGCTTGCTTGCAAGGGGGATCATGCTATACATGTCAAGGAAGTAGGCTCCCCTCTGTAGCACTACCATAACTTCTTTCAGCACTGCTGCTCTTTGTTTATTATATCCTTTCTTATGTTTATATTCAGTGCAGTAACCTTCATGAGTTATTCTATACTGAATACATTATAAAGGGAATATCTTCTCTGTGAATATCATTCATCAGGTCCCCTTTTCCCGGTCCTCTTTGAACCATAATGACGTTTTTATACTGGACACAGACTCAAAAATTTTTCTTTTTAGCGGTTGTAATTCCAGCATACAAGAAAGGGCCAAAGCTTTGGAAGTTGTTCAGTACATAAATGAGAACCAGCATGGGGGAAGGTGTAAAGTGGCAACTATAGGTATGTCTAATATATGTCCTTCTTAAAGGTCCCTTGCTACAAATTATTAACAGAAAACTAGTGCAGAGGATGGAAAATTTGTTGGTGATTCTGATGCTGGAGAATTCTGGAGCTTATTTGGTGGTTATGCTCCCATTCCACGGGAATCACCTAATACCAAGCAGGATGAAAAGCCTTCAGCTGCAAAACTTTTTGGGTGAGCACTGTCGCAAAGACCTATGTTCACTGTTGTGTCTTCCTTTTCAGATGCATTTTCCCACCTTATAGAATTCGCCAAGGCTACCATTCTTTTGGAGAGGCAGAAACAATATTTGCAGTTTGCTACACATGTTTTATCTTTTCAGTTGAAAAATCTAATGACTATGCTCTTTTTAGGGTTCATAAATGCAAGTTGCTTCCTCTTGATTCACCTTCTTTGGCTAAGGGGTTATTGAGCTCTGATAGGTGCTATCTGTTGGATTGTGACGCTGAAATCTTTCTATGGATGGGAAAGACTACATTGGTCAGCGAAAGGAAGGCGGCTATTTTGGCCGTGGAAGTAAGATTTGTCATATTTTGGAAAATTTTCGTGAATGTTCTGTAGATGATTTATTTAATTTTAAATGGTTCATGAACCTTGTGTCATCCAAAAGGGCATCAATTGATCTGATCTTCTGACTGCAGAAAACTCAAAACATGAAGCAGTATTTGCGGTGGTTCTTCCAGGGCTTGTAGGCATTGTGTATATGTTTTCTCCGGCCCTATTCCAGTCCCTCCGACTATCTCATCTATTCTCCTTTCTTGCTTTATTCTTGCTCCCTTTTCCATCCCTCTTTTGTGATTGTCTCATCTCTATCTACTGAATGATTGGAAGATTTTTATTCTTGATATATCATCAAAACAATTGTGTTGATTGGGCACGAATATCAAAGCAAAATCAAGTAGGAAACTTCAAAAATTAAATCAAACTATATGAACTTTGATTTCAACAAACTTATAGTAGAATCAAACATCTTGGAAATACGATCTCAACGACACCAAATTCGACTCAATCTGAGCCCAATGAATCCAAATCAAAGACCCGAAGAACATTTGGAAGGTTCAAACCATAATTTGGATTACCAAACGGTTTCCAAACATGACATGCTTATAGTCGAATCGAGTGGCTCGACGAGACGAATCCAACGAGATGAATCCAACGAGCCTAAGATCGCCAAATTCTGATATCATTAAGACATTCAAATACCAAATAAATGGTCCATGATCAAGGGATTCAACATCGGCCATCCATTTAAACAACTCTCAATTTATCCTTGATCTTCCTCTTATTTACAGGCCATGCCACTCTCAGAAAACTATAATTAGCCATTTCTCATGGAAAGGGGAGGAAGATGGGGCCCAAGCAAGAAGAAAAGGAAGGTAATGAAGAGAGAATAATGAAGAGTTCTCTTGCCGCCAGACTTCTCGACGTCCTCCCGGCCACCGACCAACGCCAAGCTTTCGCCCGTCGCTGGACTTCTGTCCGTCGTCGGAATTTCGTCGGACTTTCTACCCGACGCCGGACTTCTGTCCATCGCCATACTTCTACACGCCGCTGGACTTTCGCCCATCGCTGGACTTTCGCCCATCGCTGGACTTATGCGAGTCTCTGAACTTTCGCCGGACTTCTACCCGATGTCGGACTTCTGCCCATTGCCTGATTTCTACCCAATGCCGACCTTCCACTCGTCACCATACTTCTATCCGTCGCCGAACTTTTGTCGGTCTTCTTTCTGAAGCCTCACTTCCGTCCACCGTTGAACTTCAGCTTGACGCCAGATTTTTGCCCATCCTGGACTTCCGACCTCCTTTGCCAGTCGGTTATGGTTCATCTGACCTCCTTCATCAGACAACAGTCTTTCTGACTACTGTCGCACGCCAACTACGATCCTTCCAACCTCCGTCGCTAGATAACGATCTTTCTGGCCATCATTGACCGTCGACTACGGTCCTTCTGACATCCGTCACCAGAAAATGGTCTATACGACCTCCGTCGCCCGACGATTGATGCTGGACTTCCACCCGACAAAGGACCTTTCGGCCTCTGTTGCCCGCCGACTACGGTCCTTCCGACCTTCGTCTCCAGACAACGGTTGTTATGGCCTCCGTCGTCTGCCAACCACTGTCTTTTCGACTTCCGTTGCCCGCCTACTACGGTCCTTCCGACCTCCGTCGTCCACCGACTATGATCCTTCCGACCAAACAAACACGTCAATAGTAATTCTTCCAATTCCCATCATGTAATGCATTCTATGTGATGTATATTTGTTACATCAAGCCAAGGCCTTCCCCCCAAGGAATGGCCTCATATGTTATCAACTACAAGTACTAGTGGATTCATTCAAACTGGGTCAGACCCTGTGGGTTTTCCCATATTCAGGGTTTTCCACATAAGAATTTTGGCGTCTCTTATAAATGCTGCACCCTATCTCTTTTATCTGTATACGTGTTGGATATTCGTACAAAGATAAGACGTTAAACTTTGTACTTCTTTACCGCCGCAAGTATTCTAGGACGCAACAATTCTTAGTATTATGGGTTGACCATACTGATGCCTGCATGATCCAAATGTTCAAATATTGCATGGTCATGTGATATCTAACCATCACTGCCTTAGCAGAAACACTTAACGTCATTACTTTGTATATTCATTGTGATGTTTGCCTTGTTAATCAGTTTATTTCATGATCTTCTTCTCCAACAGAAATTTTGTTTCTTCTTGAAGTAGTCTTATCTTCTTACATAGTACAATTCAGCCACTTTCTACAATATTTGCTTACAATGTATTTCATAATCCTTTCTTGTTAAACCATCTATCTTTCTGTGCAGGAATTTATGCACTCTCAGGATAGACCTGTGAGCATCCATACAACCTTCTTGACTGAGGGATCTGAAACTGTTAAATTCAAGTCATATTTCAAAGATTGGCCGCAAAACACAGCACCCAGCTTGTATATAGAAGGCAGAGGAAAAGTAGCAGGTTGTATTATATACTTCTGTATTCGCTATATTCTTTACTCAATGAAATTTACCCATGCTTCAAAAAAATGACATGGTTTACTTGTATATGATATAGCTATATTCAAGCATCAGGGATATGATGTGAAGGAAATCCCTGAGGATGACTATCAACCAATAATAGACAGCAATGGCATGCTTAGAGTAATTATGAGATTCCTGTCAAGTTTGTTCGTTAATTTCTTGTGAAGCAGAAGTCATTGACATTGAATCAATTTTTGTTTAGGTTTGGCGGGTTAATTGCCATGATATCACCCCACTTTCATCAACAGAACAGGCCATGCTTTACAGAGGAGACTGTTACATTGTCAAGTATACCTATTCTGAAAATGACAAGGATAATAATCTATTTTATGCATGGCTAGGATCGAACAGCACATCGGTACGTCTTTAAATTTTTTCAAGAATCTTATTTTAGGTGGATATTGAAAGTTATTTTATTACCTTTGACTTCTCTCTTACTGATGGATAAGTTCGTTCAACAATCTCATGAGTTGGGACAACAATTATTGTGCTGCAGGAAGATAGAGTTGATGCGATCTCCATAATGACAAGAATGACACAATTAATCAAGGGTTCTTATGTCATGGTTTGTGTTAATTTGAATTTTTGTTAATTTATTTACCGCTGCTTTTGTTCTGTCCCATGCTTGTCCATTCAACAATGACAATAATAACATCCATAATTTTTGTCCTAGCATCATCGCTTAAGTAATTCTCTCTGTTTTTAAATAGCATATCTTTTGAAGGAGGCAGATGCGGTTATCGATTGTTAGATGTAATTATATTAAGGAAAAATCTTTTGAATTTTATAGTAGATTTTGGAGACTATTATTCTTCCAAGGTTTCAGATCAATAATTTGATCTTTACAAATCTTTCAGGCTCAAATTTGTGAAGGTAAAGAGCCACCGCTCTTCTTCTCGATTTTCCAGTCTCTCATTATTTTAAAGGTGAGGATATCCTTTGTGCAATAAATCTGCCATCTGGTGATAGTCATAAATTGACCATGCGTCTGTCTTTTTGTTGGAATAACTTGTAGGGAGGATTGAGTTCAGGATATAAACTGTTCTTATCGGAACAAGGTATCGCCGATGAAGCTTTTGACAAAGATAAAATAGCTTTATTTCGAGTTCAGGGGTCCAGCCCTAGTAACATGCAGGCCATCCAAGTTGTTCCTGTAAGTGGAACGATGTCATCTTTTTCTGCTATTTTGTACGGTATATTGCAACCTTCTACTAATTTGCACCGTATCAAGTAGCAAAACGCTACTAGTATCATGTGCATTCCTTGTTGTCGGTGGAAGCCATCATGGAAAAACCATTATTCCACCTGATCACAAAATATTTTTCTTGCTATCATCATCTACCTTTCATGAAATAACTTGTCCATACACAACGAATTGCTGTTTTAAATATGGTGAAGAGGGATGAAATTTTCAGTTGCTTGAGAAAAAAGATCCATGTAGTTGACCCCATATAGTGGGATTAAGACTTGTTATTGTTGTTGGTCTCCTATCACTTGTAGATCTCAAGTAATTCATATCAATCTTTGGAAAACAACGAGAATTCTCCACAAAAATCCACACAAAATTAGAAAAATAGTAGATAATTTTATTATTTGATGAAATGGAAATTGAAAATACCAAGATACAATTGATCCTCTATTCGAGAGGAGGATCTATCTCTCCCAATTCTCTAGTCGCTGCTAGAGCCAAAAATCTAAGAGAGATCTCAAATTTCAGCCAAATTCAAGATGCCAAAACCCTAGGAAAACAAACTATTTAATGCATACAATCCAATAGGAAATCTCTAAACAGCCCCTACATTCAAATTTCCCTCCTAAATTCTCCTAAAACCTTCCTAATCTGCTATTTTAAATTGGGCGGTTTGATCGGCCCATACGGAAGGCAGAGAGGTTCCGCCTCTGTTTCGCATGAGTCGGTCCTATATGGACCTGCTGAACTGATCCATCTAACAATACTTCCCTCTCAAAGACCCACATTATCCGCAAGGTGGAAAGACGACACCCTCCTCTATTCCTTTTCATCACAAACTATAAAAACCTGAAGAGTTCGGTCCTTACACCAGTGCCTTGGCGTATACCTCTCGTCTCATTTGAAACATAGCCCATTCGCCCTTTTCTCGTGTAATTTTATTTCTATGAGCTTCTTGAAGTTGTTCCCAGGTCTTCCTCCTACATTCATCTCCTTCGAAGTCTCCCAAAGATTATCCTGTGTTGGTTCCTTGGGTACCAAAAAGGTGGTGGTCATCATGCACGAACCTCCTGAGCTGTTGCTTCCCGTTCCTCTGTCCAGGTGCCTCTGATCCTCCACCAACTGAGCTAGCTCCATAGCCTCTCTCAAGTCACGATGCTTATCACTCTAACCGCTGTGCGGATCTTTGGTTTCTGTCCCTTCATAAAGTTCCCCTTCAGTACAGTCTCTAGAAGCTGATCCAGTCGACTGACAAGATACTCGAATTGCTCACGGTAATCCACCACTGTCCTCTCATGCATCAAAGGGAAGAACTGCTCATAGAAGTCCTCTCCCCCCTGATCTGAAAATGTTCCAACAAACAATCCTTAAACTCCTTCCAGGTCTGTATCGGTCGCCTAGTATCCCTCCACAGGTACATGCTAAAGCTTTACCTTCCAAGTACATCCCGGTTGCCATTTGTCTCTCCCCTTTCGTCAACCTATGGATGGTAAAATATCTTTCCACCTTATAGATCTACTCATGGACATCCTCTCCCTAAAAAATAGACATCTTCAACTTTCCACCCTCAGATTGCCTCCTTTCCCTCTATTCCCTTCATAATTTCCCATTCCCCAAGGAGGTGGTTTTCCCCCAAGTGTCCTAATCATCCCTTTTACATTCATACCCATGCCTTTCATCAAATTCCCTCTCCTTTCAAATTCTGCATCCCTTGGATCATAAAATATCCCCCCCTTCAAATTTTGCCCCATGTGGTCATAATTACCTTTCCTTTTTCAAATCCCGCTCCTCTCCTCTCCAAATAAGCACCTCTTTGTTCTTTCCTATCTCCTCCCGCCTTTCCCCATAGCCCCTACACAACTCTTCCCTAGGTATAGGCCCTAAGGAGTTAATTGCTGTTGACATAAATATAATGCAATAGCATATAAGAAGTTATGGAATACCAAAAGGTTGGAGTAGCTACAGTCTACAGCAGAAGATAAGATTAAAGAGAGTCGCCTTAGATGGTTTGGTCACATAAAAAGGTGGCCTTCCGATAACCCGGTTAGAAGAGTAGAGGTATTAGATTTGACTTGTGTTAAGAAAGGTAGGGGTAGACCTAAAAAGACTTGGTTAGAAAATATTAGGAATGACCTTTCTTTATTAGATTTAAATGAGAATTTGACTTTTAATAGGACACAATGGAGAAAAAGGATTCATGTAGCCGACCCCACGTAGTGGGATAAAGGCTTGATGTTGTTGTTGTTGATTGCTTCTCGTTAGGGCCAACTAAATTGTCAAATCTAGCCATCTCTATCACTTTGTATTACATGCAACCAAATGAGCCCTTCTAAGTGTCAGAGCTTATGACCTAAATCGTTGGGCTCGGGTCTACAATTTATGGTGCAACAAATGTGGTGCAATTTAATTATGAGAAATTTTTTTAGGATATATTGTTTCAACAAAAGGATTGGGCCGATTTGTTGTGGTGCAATTTGTATGGACCTCTATTATTTTTGCATACATATTTGTATTCATGTAATTAGGGTTTGTGGTTAGGTTCTATGTGAGCTGCTACTCTCCTATTGTACCTATCTTTGAGCATTGTGAATTATTGTCCTTTGCTCGTTGTTTTTTATTTGTCTAGGATTTTTTATGTAAATTTGTGTTTTTATTGATTATATTTTATATTATTTTTTTCAAATCATTAAGGTTGAATGTTTTGTGCGCATGTGAAAAGATATTATAAATTGCATTGTGCATTTGATAGTAATAGTCATTATCTAATATAGGTTCAAGGTTTTTAAGTTTCTCCGTTTCATAACATGAACCCTTGTTTCCATTGTAGCATGTTATGGCATTTCATTTATAATTATATGGGTTTAGGGAACTTTTGTACGCTTGTACAAGCTTCTGCAAATAATGAATTCTTCAAGATTTCCTCGATCTTCTCAAACATCAAATCTATTTCTTTAGTAGTATCATATAAATATTTACCGGGTGTCATTGATATGTTTTTGCTTATGCAGTTTTATTTGATAAGAAAAACGGATTGTTTTAAACAAGTTGAAGTGTCTGCTTAACAAGGATTAAATGTATTTACAGCTGGAAGTATTTTCAGGTTTCTTGTTCACTCAATTCCTCCTACTGCTATATATTACAAGATCAAACATCTTTCTTCACATGGTTCGGGAGCCTTTCATCAACTACAGACCATGATCTTGTTGACAGGTTGTTAGACCAGCTAAATGTAAGATTTATTTCTATGTGGCATTGAGATTACATGTTAGCGACTCTCTGTTTCATCCCGGTTATTAGTCCTTGTGAAGTGGATTTGTTAAACAGCTTGTTGCAACTATGTTTCTCTGACAACTTGTCCAGTTATTAGTCCTTGCAACTTTTCCGTATGTCAATTATACATATTAGCTTTTCTCAGATTGATATTCATTTTGATGACATCTACAGGAAGTTCGAATAAATGTTGAAATCTTCTTCTTGCAAAACGTAATACATGTCTTTCAAGGAATTTATTAGCCTTCACTGTTTTGGAATATTTAATTTGGGCGATTTAAATAAAATATTTACCTTGCTCCCTTAAATTTTTTTTTTTCTATCCCAGTTAGTTTCAGATGAGATTGTATTGTTTTACTACAAACTATGCTCATTCCAATATATATGTTAACTTGCCACATGCAGAAAATAACAATACATCAATTAATTTTTAACAAAAGAGGGCAACATATAAGAAACCAATTGTCCGGCTCGAATGTTTGATAGTGGAAAATCATGACTGAAGTTGTTTTGGTAAATCTAGTAAATGTTGTTAGTGATTTACCTGCACATTTATGTTATTTTATCAGTTTTTAGTATAATGTGTTATAATATGCTTCTAATTATAATATACCATCTTTGTTAAACAAGTGCATGAATAGCATGATGCCATTTGAGGTTTTTAAAACACTGTTTGCAGCCACTCAAACATTCTACATCAGTGAGGGAAGGAAATGAACCAGATATCTTCTGGAACATATTAGGAGAGAAGATGGATTATCCGAAGGAAAAGGTTATCAAGGAACATGTTGAAGATCCACACTTATTTGCTTGCATCCTTGAAGAAGGTGAATGTGGTTCTCTTCCACATCCTTAAAAAGATTTTGTACCTATTTCTGTTCAGAATGTTGACTAAGCTGTATTCTATGAGCATGACTAATGATAACTTGCGGTTCTCTTCACAATCCTTTGGTGGTTAACTGTTCAGGTGATTTCAAGGTACTTTTTATTTTGCATCATATATTCCATAATCTGTGAAATTCTGTTACTATGCTTTTAGGTTTCTCTCTTATGGTGTTTATTCTTTAATTAATGAAGCGATTATTACTTCCAAGTCAGCTTAAGAGAGCATTTGTTGAGTTTGATTGAGTTGTCTTTGGTGGCTTGGATAAGTATTATATTTGTTCATGAATATTAAGTCCGACTTATGGGTATTTTCCTTAATAAAGTCTTTTAACAGATTAACCATTTAGTGGATACATTTGTCCTTTTATTTTATTTTAACAGATTACTAGCTTTTTTCCTTAATATTATTATTATTCTTATTTTACTTTTCATTAATATCTTGTTTACTGCCTTATTCTCATTCCATGCAACTTTCAAACTTCCGCCAATCTAATTATTTCACATTTTCTAATTCTAGTTTCAATGAACATTCTTTACTGTTAGCCGCATGAAAATATGAATCAATTAAGGGGGAATTATTTAGTTGTAGTGGACATCCGAGAAAATAAAGCTATGTTTGGGAACATTGCAAGTGTGCACGGTAGTACTGTATGATGTTGCGTTCATTTGTCTAAACTAATAGCAGCAGTTAACGGTAATACCATATTGATGGAAATTTAGTTAGGATTGAAGGTAGGAGTGCAGAAAATGGCACTGCACATTCTCACACAAATCAATGATGTTTCTTTACGAAGACAATATGATGGTAAGTCGAGGTATGATTAATTTAAATAAGTATCCATCATTAATTTTATAAAAAAATTGACATCACCAAATTTATAATAATAATAATAATAATAATAATAATAATAAACCACTAATCCTCATTTTCCCTCACATAACAATTCCTCACTTAAACCTAGTTTGCCCTTCCGACCCACTCACGGTCTCTCATGCACGCTAATCTCCTTCTTGGCTCCCTCTCTCTTGGTTCACACTACGCCAGCTTGTCGTCGTTTCCAGCATGCAGCCACAGGCCACCCTAGGTAAATCCCTCTCTTTTTTCTTCTTCTTGATCCCCTTCTCCTTCTACCCCTCCTTTCCTCTTCTTCTTCTTTCCCTGTTCTACTTCTTCCCCAAAACCTAAACCTAACCTAATCCTAAAAAAATTCTTCTATCTCCCTCCCTCAAATCCCCATACTCCCTTCACAAAAGAATCTCCCAACATCTTCATAAGGAAACAAATAATTATGGAATAATACATAATTTCCCTAATATATAATCCTTCTTAAATCAGCCACCCAAATATAGAAGGAGATTGACGCGATCAAGGTGAGCCTCCCAAGGATCCCCATGTTGGCTATGGGATCAAGGGCCAATGTATGATTGGGATTTAACAAGATGAGCCTCCCACAGATCCCCATGTTGGCCATGAGATCAAAGAGCCAAGGGACGGCTGGTATTTACCAACAAGTCACCTATTGTTCTTGAGAAAATACTTCGTACCTTGCTTGCATAGGTAGACTTGTAGCCATAATCTAACTCTAAATATTTTGCTTTCATTTTCCCTATCACCAGAGGCTTGCATATCTCCTTGTGCTTAGCATAAATTTCTTCATTCACTCTCTAGTTGAGGTATGGTTTTACTTGGTTTGGATAAGATAGTTGCTTTAAGAAGAGTCAGTGTTACTTTCTGTCTTCCTAGTTGCTTTTTCTCAATTTCTTTTATTGGTCGCTTTTCAGTTTCAGAGCTTGATGCCTTGGCTTCAGAAGAACTTATTGTGAACCTTTGAAAGGGAACCGTCGGCTGCAGAGTGCAGAGGGTACTACGACCGCACCACCCCGAAGGGTAGAGAAGATCGCAGACCTCCGCACTCCTCGCAAATAGGCCAATGGGAGGGCAGATTAGATCGTACATACGACTAACCATTGAGGATAGAGGCTTTCACCAACACACACTGATGGGTAGTAATATATATGACATGATCAGAACAACGGGTTTCCCCTACCCGATACATCAACTCAAGTAGGGTTTATTTAATGTGGGACTCAGTTTCCCACGGGCGCAAGCCCCCGTGATTAATTACATCTAGGGCTGCAAGCGAACCAAACGTTCGACGAGCTACTCGATGTTCGGTTCGATTAAAGCTCGTTCATGATCGTTTAATTAACTAAACAAACAAACTTGAACAATATTTTAAATACTCGATTATTAAATAAACAAGCTTGAACACTAATGCGTTCGGCTCATTTATGTTCGCGAACAACATCATTTGAAGTTCGTTAACAAGCTCGACATTAAGCTCGATAAAAGCTCGAAATGGCTATTTATTTATAAATTATTGCCTTTATTAATTCTACTTTTATGTTCATGGACAATTGCTTTTATTATAAATGTGTTTGCTCATATATATAAATATAAAGAAGGGCAGAAAGAAGTTTGTTCATGAACGTATTTTTTTGATAGTTAAAAAAAATTGTTAGATATGTTTACGAACATGCTCGATGTAATCATTTGTTAGGAAGCTCGATAAAGCTCGTTTGTTAAGTTAATGAACATCTAAAAGTAGAGCTCGTTTATAGCTCATTCATGTTTGTTTGTTTAAAGCTCGATAAGCACTAAACGAACGTACATAAACTGAACATGAACCGAACATGAACACTCATTAATTTAAATGAACCAAACATGAACACAAACAATAAAGCTCGAACAAACATGAACCAAACTTGAACAAGCTAATATTAAATGAACACAAACATGAACACTTACATACTCAGCTCGGCTCGGTTCGTTTACAACCCTAATTACATCTCAAGCTTAGTGCTCGAGAAAACTCTCGATTAAGGATTCTAAGTTATCCTTCCCAAGGTGGGATCGGCACGAGGGTGAAGACTAGGAAGTCCTACTTAAAAGACAAGAAATGGTTCAAAGGGGTTAATCAACATGCGTGGTCCCCACCAGCATTCAGAGGATCTAGGATACTAAAGAAAAAATTGGAGAAAAGAAGGTCGGACAATTGACATATGCGTGAGAGAAAGATGGAAGTGGCGTCATCCATGTGACGCAGATAAGTATGATTTATAGTCCCCGAGAAGAAGAGACCTACCCACTATTTAGGCATACTACGAGACCGAGTGTGGTAGCCTCGAATCCTAAATCTAAGTTGGGCTTAATGTTCTACGAACAACACTAAAACACGTGTCCTAACTAATGCAATGCAAAACTTGGACTTACCCCGGCCTGGATTGTGAGCCAGCTAACCACCTAATCGATTCAAAACCATGCAGTCTAGTCATTTATGAAAGATGGGTGGGTGATACAACTTTTGGAAGTTAAGACCGACATGTAGAGAGTTCCTAAGTGGCCTTGTACTTATTTAGGTTGAATGCTCCTAGTTAATGCAATTAAAATTTTATTTAATTGGTTATTAATGCAATGCATGCTGGTTGAAGCTTCCAAATCAGGTATGCATAAGATTTTAAAAACAAGCTTATAAAAAATAATTTTTAGAAAAGACTGGGCCTCCCCAGGTCCAGCACGTCATCCTCATAGGACAGATTATCCGGACTCTACCTGCAGGCATGGAGGTGTCTTATTAGAAGGAGAGAGAGAGAGATGCAACATTATGCATGCGACCCCGGACGATTCCGTCAATTTTCTAGATTCGTTAAGTTTCTATGTTATTTAAACTTAAAATTTTAGAGATTAGTTATGAGTAGAAAATATTTTAATCCTTAAGGAGTCTAACGATGTCCAGACTAAAATAAAAATGGCATGCAAGAAAAAAATCTAGAAAAAGCAGACAATTTCTACCGCGCAAGCATAGTAAACACATCAATATAAATAAACCAATTAAATAAATGTCTATAGGCCAACTGCCCTTTAATTACAATTCAGGGTTTGCAGACAAGTAAAGTGGCCGGGCACCACTGCCAACAATCCGGATTTCTAAGCCTAGGACTGACGCAAATAACTTTGAGTGGGATATTATGTCTTCTGTTTTCTTGAACTTCCTCTCCTTGGACTCCTTGGATCTCTCCTCCTTGGACTCATTAGATCTATCCTCCTTGGACTCCTTGGATCTTTCCTCATTGGACTCCTTGGATTCGTCGTGGCTTGAATATCCAAACGAAGAGACAATCTCCCCTAAAAAGGGGTGTTGTCTTTTCTCTTTGGATATCTAAAGCCATCCAAACCCGATATTCCAAATGGAAGAAGACTCTCCCATTTGAGGATGTCTTCTTCTTTTGGAATTCGAGTTGGATAAGAATACCCCGACTCAAAGGTTATTTTCACAACACTCACCAATATTACAAATTATTTACATTAATGAAAAGCTGTAAAAATCTAGAGTCACCTGCAAGGTTATCCTAATAAAAATCTCAAGCAGTTTATCACCTCAAGCAGTTATATAAAAATAATGCACATCACAGCCACACTTGGCCATGCTCTTAATTATTGAGGGCTAAGCAGCTCCTGGAGCACCTGTAGCAATTATTATCTAATCAGATTCCATGGGCACGACGATCAATAGTCGCTAGTGTTGGTAGATTGAAACCTACAGTATTTCCGGGTTTACCTTCGTCCCCCACAATCGGATTTAGAACATTAACACAGTGTTGCACACACATTTGTACCTCATGCACAGACTAGATATAATTTCATCCTTAATCGAGAGTGCTATTCTACGTGTTAGAAGAGATAATTAATTATGAGGGTTTGCGCTTATAGAAAGTAGGGTCCGGATCTAAATAAATTCTGACACTACTCTCAGGGAAAATCTTGTTAATTTTAAATTCAATCTATCTCAGAAAAATTGGGACCTTAAAGCTTGCGAGAGCTAGGATTGTGCCTATTTTCCTGAGCAAACAGGCAACACCATCTGACATGATTCGAAAGTTACTTTTCTAATATACTCTTCTCTTGCTACGTATTAAACACTACCAAAATAATTCTAAATGTCTTCGTAGGAAGTAGATCTTCATCTACTTCTTCTCCATCACCTTTTGCATCATGTATCTGTAGCCCGACCATAAAATTAGTGAGCTTAACTGATCGTCTCACAGGCTGATAATAATTGACTAAGGCGTCTATAACTCTTTAGGTCATCGTCTTTTTTTTTCTTTGGCTTTCTCACCTTTGTCTTCCTTTTATATGGATTTGATTTTTCTTTGTCAGACTTTGATGAGTTAGCTTGACTAGGATGCTGTTTGAAAATAGATGCATTTAAAGCTCGTAATCCTTTTAAGTCTAGCGCCGGTTTAGTAGGAGATTTTCACTAGGGACTCCTTACAGGTTCTTCAGCATTTTCATGGTCTTCTTCGAAACTACAGTTTCCTAATCTTATTGTGTTGCCTTTCCGATCAAATCTTTTTCTTCAATAGGTGGCATGGGAGAGGACGCAACCATCCTTGTAGATTATCTTTTTGGGTGAATAAGAATGCTATTTGATAACATGAATTCCTTTTTATATATTTACTTTCTAGCTAGTCTTTGAAGACAACAATCTTCAATAGGGGTGATTGATCACCTGATGATATGGGCAATAATTTACATTATCAGTATGGTTAGCCTCTTTAGGTCTTTTGCATTCTATTAGCCCGAGACCTGCTCTATGTGTCTGCCGGAATAATTTGGCAACACTTTCCCTCTTAGAAGAATGCTCCTTATTCATTTTATCTCTGAGGGATGTGAATGTTCGATCACCAGTTCCTGTCATTTGTTTTGGATGTTCTGCTATGCTAAATTTTCAAACCTAAGATCCAAATATGTTATGCGGATCAAAAGTGAACCTAAGTTCAAGTTCGATCTTTCTTGAATGGACCAGAGTTGACACATTTTGAACATCAAGTAAATACACGGTTGCAACAGTGACCAAAGTATTTGGTTTTATACGTTCATATTAGTCATTCAAAGCCTCTTATAAGAAATGTTCACTAAGTAAAACATAAATTATGTAGTATTTGATTTTATACATTCGCATTAGACTTTCAAATGCCACGTAGTGGGATAAAGGCTTGATGTTGTTGTTGTTGCATTAGACTTTCAAAGCCTCTTAGAAGAAATGTTCACTCATTAAAAGCTTAAACTCTCGGAATCAACACTTAGAATCAACAAAAGTATTTGGATTTTATACCTTTATATTATGCCTTTAAGTTCTCTTATAAAGAAAATTCATATATGAAAATACATACTGTCGATTCTGACATTTATACAACCATAAAAGTTAGAAGCCGAGCCCAATCATATGTTGGCAAGTAGCAAGTAAATATAGTGTCGACAATGTTCAAATAATGAAGTGAAATTACCTATAAATCCCGATGATGGATGTGTTGAATGTTAATTTCAACTGGAGGGGTTTATACCTTTTAAATGCCCAAAATCTCAAAATTAATCATTAAGGGATTTTGATTTTAATAATAGTTCAAAACTCAAGAATCACCTAAACTTATGATTCAAGATGAAATTTATTCATCTACCCTACGCAATAGTTTGTTGAGGAGGATAAATTTGAGTATAATCTTAGTTTATAAAAAATGAATGTCCTGTTAGATGTATCGTTAATATTCATTCTCAAACCATTTTTTTCCAGTAAAGACGTGTCATGTGTCCTTTAATTGGTGATTTTGTTACTAAACGACACAATATATAAACAATTATGATCGAAACCCTCTGATTGGGTGGTTTTGCTGTCAAATGGTATCACTAAATTTTGGTTATGGCCGGAGCCCGTTTGTTCCTCAATGATTCTAAACCCTCGAGTAATAAATCATAGGATATATTTGATAGGGCACAAGGCCCTCAGTTAATTAAGTTGGACTCAAATTTATCCCTTCAGTTAAACATTTGCCCCAAGTTTACAATTTACCCTTGGACGATGTAACCCATTGCCTCCAACGAGGATTCTTTGATCAAGTTGGGTTGATTGCCTCATTTGACTAAGTAGACTAGGGATCATGATCGTTCAGGACGAGGGAAACATGGGATCTTGATCAGGCCTGTCATATTTCCCCTATCACCCATTTTAAATGTACGGTGATAAATTTCAAATCTTAAAATAACCCAAAAATCCAATTTTAAAATCCTAAAGTTGTTGATATTGTATGTTGGGTACTCAACGCCTATCTAATAACTAGCCTTATTTGAAAGCGTTCTCTCGTTATTAGGAGGGGTAATTAACCATAGAGGCTTATACCTTTGGAAAACCAGACCCCAGATAAAAAAGTACTCGCAAAATGAGAGCGAAATCTCTAGGTAATGTCTTATCTAAAAACAATCGGTCTTTTGAAAAATTATCTGGATCCTAAACTCATTAAAACTTTCGTTGTCGACAAAAAGGCCTCGAATTATCGATGCTTGCAGCTCGTAGATTAGAAAAGGAAAAACAGATAGAGATAAAGATAAAAGATAATTAAACAAAAATGGTGGATAGTGCCAGGTAGGAAGCAGGGATAAGTGCAAAAGTATTTCAATTGCAGTTTAAAAGTGAAATTAATTTAGCATATTTTTATTTTTTCAGGTTATTTAGTTTTTTTTACTAAAGTAACTATTGGAAATCAAATTTTTTTATTTGGTTGGAAAAATGAGATACATTACATTGACGGACGCTGACGGCGATAATGTGAATTGCGGGGATGACAGTGAGCTACATGGTCACGGATGGGGTCTTATGGGGATGGTTAGTTTGGGGCTGGAGAGATCAAGCATGTTGAAGGTGAGGTCAAGGACAATAGGGTTAGACTTGGAAGCGACATGTAGGGTCAGGTCAATGCTAGTCAAAGACGACATGATTGGACTGGTGGATTTGTTCATTGAAGGCAAAGTTGGGGCTGATGTTTGCGTGCCGGGAAGACAAGGTTACGAGGTGGCATTCACATATGAGGAAGTAAAGATTTCGAGCTGGCTCTCACATGCAGGGATGGTGATATTGCAAGCTGCAAGTTCCTTGCATTTGAATCACTTGATTTTGGCGAATTCCAAATTGGCAAAAATATATGTTATGTTCTATTTTGAATCCCATATGCAAATACTTTGTATTTAATTTACTTCAAACTAAACATCGAAAAATCAAAACTCTCGCATTTCTCTTTTTTCTACACTCCTTGCAATCAAACAACCCCCAATTTTTTTATACTCAGATGATGTACATCATAATTATTACTCGATATTTTGTTTTAAAACTTTCATTTTGAATCATTTTACAATCTTGTGATTTTTTTTCGCTTTCTTCTAAAAGTTTCTAATTGCGACTTGGTTGGTACTGTTTTAACAATAACTAAGTGCTCTTCTCATTGCTTAAAGTATGTGTTTGCTACTGCCAAGTCAAATTTCACTATGGAATCGTATAAATTATTCTATTTTATTTATATCTCGTATTTCATATCATTATAAATCTTCTCTACCCCATCCTACTGGGATCTTTATATCTATTTAAGTTATTTAAAATAATTATCCTTTCTTCTTCTTGCATAATTGTAATGGTTCATCTCTCTTCCCAAAATTGATTTTTTTAACCATCTTTTCATCCACCTGAGCAAAAGCTTTTTCTATTGCAAATAAGTGATATTGATTCTTCTTCTAATGATAATATCCACCAATTTTATTATCTTTGCTATTTATTGTCATCATCATCAACATTACCTGGGTTAGATTTATGTATTAATGTCTTCCATTCAAAGTCTCTAAATTCCACGCAGCAATCTAATATTAATTTTATTCTAGTCACTCATGTTCAATTTTTACTACAATTGAGTTATATTGTAACACATTAGTTATTAATAATGTCCGAGCCAACTCTTGCTTCTTTTTTCAACGTAATTGGGTTAAATTATGGTGCTATATTATGTGTGATGTCCTGATAATCTTTTGCCTATCTCTCATCAAAAGTAGGTTAGCTTGTGGCTCTTGCTCTGGGGAATGCTTGAGCGCTAATAAAATTCAAATTTTGGTTCAATTTATAAATTAAAGAATAAGTTCTTTGATTAGCTTCCAATCTAACAATCGATCCTCAATTTTTCTGATCTACTCTTGGGACTTATAGCTGTGATTTTGGCATTTCTCGTGTGCTCTTACTAAGTATAAGGACATTGAAGAGGAAATCTTTATCTTCCTCCATGCAATATTCAAATTAGTAAGCAAAATTCCATCTAAACAGGATTTAGAATATTAGCTGGTGATAATGAGGAAAAGCTACTACGTAGGCCTAGTGATTATGCTTAATAACAAATAATGAAAGAAAGGCTCTGGACTTTGTGTTCTGTGAGATTCTAACGATATGATTATTGCATACAAAATTAATATTGAAGCTTCAAAAATTTAAAAATTACCTGTTATAAGTCCGAGCTCTTAAATATATAATTAATTATACGTAAAAAAAAAAAGTCCGAGCTCTTAAGTCTTATGGGTTCCGGTCCATGGAGGATCAAAAGAAAAAGAATGACAGAAAGATCCAATGAAGTAAAAAAAAAAAAAGTCCGAGCTCTTAAGTCTTATGGGTTCCGGTCCATGAAGGATCAAAAGAAAAAGAATGACAGAAGATCCAATGAAGTACAATAAATTATGATCATAACATACGTTTACTCAAATTTGATAAATTCCATAACTGATAAAGTTGATGGTTGCATTTTGGGAGGCCAAAAGTACTCCTTAATATGTAAAAGGTAGCAGCCTTACGAGATAAATTTGAGTTTATTCTAAACTGTTGGAGGCCATCATTTTTAGTTGACATTATTCTCTAAGTTTGAATTGTAGTTTAAAAGATCACATTGTCTGCGGATGTCAAATTACAGGTGCTTTAATATTCTTACTTCAATGAAAAATCTGTCTCATGGAATCAGAAGTTCCAAAGTGGAGATAAATGGAAATTACATCCTTACAACTAATGCTAACATAATCATGCTTGGGCTAAACCGTTTATATCTGTTGCCATTTATTACTTTTGTTACACTTTTCATTTTGCTAAATTTAGCAGTTAGACTTACAAACAAACTGCAATGGAGCTCACCAGCTCATGACATATTTTAGGGGAAGGAGATATTTAATTTTACACAAGATGACTTAACAACAGAAGATGTGCTATTACTAGACTGTCACAGTGAGATTTATGTCTGGGTTGGCCAACATGCGAGCCTTGTTTCACCAGAGAAAGCCCTTACTTTAGGCAAGGTAATTAACTTGGTGTTTATAATTTCATTTTGAGTTAATACCATGCTAGCATTTGATATTTTGTAAATCTCTTAGCAATGATCGTATCCTAAAGATATTAACAAAGCAATGTGACTAGCTTTCATTCAACTAACTTCCTGTGGCGCAACTTGTAGAAATTTCTGGAGGCAGACATTCTGCTTGAAGGATTACTGCAGGAATCAGCTATATATGTTATCCCGGAAGGAAACGAACCTCCATTCTTCACTCGTTATTTTGAGTGGGATACCTCAAAATCAAATGTATGCTTGTTCAATCCGTGGAACCTTATTTTTTCAGCATGTGGTATTAGCTTTCTTATTAAGTTAGCGCTTCTAGATGCATGGTAACTCATTTGAGAAGAAGCTGGCCATTGTGAAAGGCTCAACACCAATTACAGAGGTTAGTTTTGGAGTTTGCTTGCTGTTCTTGTTAGTTCATATCCAGTTTATGCATAGTTCTAAAAAATATTAAAGGTTCAGAAGGTGCAGGACTTATTATTTAAGTAAATGCATGCTTCCTTGTGCCTTATCAGTAACCAAATTTTCCAATTAGCATGTTGTACTGCCAACTTGATTAAGCTGCATGGAAAATCATTTGTTAAAATCAAAGCCTTTTCTAACAATTATATGATTCATGCTTGTGTTTTCCTTTATTTTCTCAAAGAGCATCATGGTCTTCCTATTTTATGCCACTGTAAAGTGGATCAAGCGTTTGATGTCTTAATGTTAAAGTATCATCATTAGCCTTATCTTAACTATTTGTGTTTGGTTTTATAAAACCTCATTTTCCATTTATTCCTATTTAAGTGTTGAACGAGGTGACTTATTTTATGCAAATCTATTTCCACCAGTTCTATCTATGTTACCTTAAGTTTGTTATTTTTCCTCAGTAATCCTTTGATGTTGATATTAGCTTTTCATTTTATTATAGCATGTTCACAAGTCCATCAAAAAAAGCCAAAGAAAATGAAAAAAAAAAAAAAAAAGCTTGCGCTCTCTTTTCTGCCCTTTCAATTTTAGTTCAAAATTTTGCCTACGATCGGACACTGACACCAGTGTCCAGCATCCAATCCTGGCGAACGCCTGCTCCACCTCTGTTCGCACGCGGGATTAAACCCGATTTCTGCCTCGCCTGATTGTTCGCACACAGGACCAAGATTCGCCTCCCACGCGACCGACCCCCTCTACCTGCTTCGTCCACCTGACAACTTAGCCTCGGCTCAGGTCCAACACCCCAGCCGTCGCCTCCTTCCACTTTGACTAGGCCCGAGCTGCCCACACTCAAGACCTCCGTCCGCACACAAAGCCAAGTCCCCTCAACTCATCGTGCCCTACACCCAAATCGAGAACATGACTGCAATCCCGTCCGTTTAAGCTCACCTCTGCCAAATCCAAACCACAAACACGTTGTCCGGTCACTCTGCATGCTTGGCCTGCGAACACCTGCGCCTACCTGCTGTTCATGCGTATGCCTTCTTCTGATCCCAAGTCTAAAGTCTCTGCTACCGTCTGTCTCCTAATATCTGATTGCAACCATATGTGCCTGCTTTTAATTAAATACTAATCCGTCTCCTGCTTTGTTAAAAAACTATTGTCATGAACTACTGCTCAATAACTTATATTCCAAATGAACTATTTGTCTCATCTGTAGTTCAAGAACATCGATTTGAATTGAATATCTATCTTATTTATGTTTAAATTAACTCCAACCGATAATCTCGATTTAAATAACAAAATAAGCAGATATTTGATGTCGAAGACCCGTGCCATTGATTTTTGATTTAGGCGGATGGTTTTTGAATTTTGAAGACTTCGTGCTGTTGATCTTAGATTTGACTGAGATGACTTTAAATTTGAAGACACAGTACAATCGATCTTTGATCATGGTGGGATGATTTAAAATTCGAAGACCTGCGCCATTGATCTCTGATCTGGGCGGATGATTTTTTAAATTAAAGACGCTACTATAATAACCCTTAACAGTATTGCAGAGTGTCACACACATAAACATACACATAAACATAACATATTTCATTTTTAAATATATTATGCTTTTCAATCATTTCCATATATAAATCATCCAACAAAGTTTATATTTATATAAACGGAGGCATATAATAATTCCAATTACGTCAAAGAAATACTTAGAGAGCCATTAAAAAAATTCAAATTAATATATCACTAAATTGAATTGTGTACATACCTCAAATGTAGACTTACAAATAGAATTGCACACTAGCATATAAATTGAAATAACTTACAAATTAATCTACAACAATCTTTTCCTGTAAAAACAACCAGTAAGAAAAGTACTGGTGAGCTATAAAGCTCAATAAATTATACAATTACAATATCAGTTAAATTGTATGATTATAAAATTTAACAACATTGAAAACATAAATAAAACAAACTTGACATTATTTATAAAATATCATAAAATCACATTTGTCATTAATCTTTATTTTCACTGAAGTCTATACTGAATATCAATTTTAGTCTTTAAAAGATTTGACTATACTTTTATAAAAATATTCAATGAAGCACAAGTAAACCTAGCATTATCGTATTAAATTACATAGAGGTCCCTTTGGCCTCTTTAGGGGTTCCTTTTGTCCCACTTGCTATGCAGATATTATATCTCTAGGGTCTCTTTTGCCTCACTTACAATGCAGTTTCATACATGGGGACCCTTTTGCCTACCTGCAATTATAAATTATACTTTATTTTATAGCCAAACTTTACTTTAAATTAATATTCACTCAACTTCACATATTCATAATTCATGCATGCTTATTATGGTTGTATACATTCCATAATTTGTATAACGCTATATCTGTTGCATTAAGAGAATTTATATGCAATACTTAAAGAATTGAACTTCTTTGCAACCTATGATGCACGGACACGAACGCGGCGACACGGACACGGACACGGGACGGTTTTTTTTTGAAAATGCATCATAGTTTGCAACATCTTACCAACTAAGAAAAGATTTCAATGATCATGCTTATTCATATTTCAAACTTCAATTGTTCCTATGGATATGCAATTGCTTATACCTGAATACTTAAATGTGATCTCATGTTCATTGTTGGAATCTTCATAATGTATTTAATTTCTCAAAGCATTCAAATGACATTATAAATATACCTTGACTTAATAATCATTGCATTTATAAATTAAATTTTCATAACTTACTTTCCTGACGAGTTGCCACTTCCAATACTCCACTTCTTTCTCTTCTAGGATTGTAAGTCACCACAAAATCTCCTTTCTGCATATATTCAGGTAATTCCTAAATACATTGATAACAATTGGTATACTTGGTTCAAAAGTTTTATTTTTTATTGTCTTTTTAGAAATTTAATAGACAACTATGAATTTACCAAAACGCTTACCTTCTTTCTTTTTCCTTTCCTAAAGTTCTATGTTTATTCTTCTTTTACTGACTGAAATCAGAATTTCTCCTATTCCTTTACAGCAAAATTTCGCTCCAAGCCGTCAATTCCCCTTATATTTCCTGTTGTTTCTCACGCTGGAATTTTACTCTTCAAATCCTCTATACAGTATAAGGATTTTCTTCACAGCAGATGCCAATTTCCCTTCCTACTCTTCCTTCATTGTTTCCTCAAAGATATTGCTCATTCTCATCAATTAAATTCTACCACAGTCACTGTTATCTCAATTTATTTCTCACATCACAGATTCCTGCACTATGCCGCCCATTTTCCAACACTTTACTGTGCAGAATGCATTGTGGCTATTTTTGGTACAGTAATTCCTGCAGCACTGTGCCGAAATCCATAAAAAAAAGTGTCGAACTCTGCTTTTTTCCTGCACTGTGCCGAATTAACCAATGGCTGCTTGCAGGAATTTGGAACACATGTAAGGATAGAGGAGTGGACCCCGCTCAAAAAATGCTCTTGTACAAACCGCCTATGAAAGCATCTATTCTGATTTTAATAGGTATTTATCTAATTTAATTAAATCTTTACTTGATATTAAACACTTAACAACATTTTAACATATTGTTTAAAATACTCTCAAAAAATTACTTAACAGTTATTATTATTCATTTAACTAATTTACTAATATTAATTATTGTTAACATAATTTAACAACTAATTATTACTAAACTTCAGAATAAATCTTAAAAGTATAATTAAATAAATTTAAAATTTTCATACCTGAATTTTTGGATTTTACAATTATATGCATTGAAATTTAAATTGACTAATTGGTCAATTAATTCATTGATAAATTTATTAATTACAAAATAAAATACAATGAAAATGGGAAGAGTTACACTAATCAACATATACAACACTGCTCTCTAAATCATCACAAACTATTAACCTCTTAACACAAACAATTCTCAAACTCGCCAGCTCTCAAACATTGTTCTCCAAACTCTCAAATAAATCTCTCCAACCCTCACCAACGCTCCAAACAATACACAAACAACTCACAAACACTCTACTCTCCAAATTCTGTACAAAACTCTCCACAGCACAAATTTTGTAGTCTCCTGTACAAACTCTAAAACAACACATGCTCCTCCAAACAAGTAAATAAAATTATTTAAGCATTGAAATTAAATTAATATCAAAATAAATATTAAAGTAGAAAGAAGAGCAAGTGTTATAGGAAACTACTAACACAAGAAAAGTAGAACTACTGCTCCAGAAAAAATATACCAAAATTGACAAGAAACTGCTAAGCAAAAAGAAAAGAGCTATTGCAACAAAACACTAGTATCACACAAAAATAACTGCTGGCTAGTAAGTGTTAAACTAATAAACAAACTGTTAGTAAACAACTACACAGTGTGGTGTCAAGCTAACAAATAACTGTTGTCATAGGACTAGGTTGTAAAACTCATTATTGGGCAACTTCTAAGTGAATTTGATCTTTAAATAAAATGCAAAATCCCTAAAATCTCAACCAAATTCAATAATGGTCATCTTAGTCTAAATGATTTAGTTGTAATACCCACTTTTAGGCATATTTCAAAAGAAGATGTAAGACTTGTTACTTGAGAGATAACTCTCAAATTAAATTTGAACCTACGGGCAGTTTAGCCTATAGGGCTAAATTGTAAGACCCTCCAATAAGCTACTTTCAAATGAAAGTAATAAGACCCATCATATCCAAATTATTAGTCAACTTTTAATAGGAGTCACGAGGCCTATATTATTTGAAAAAATTTTAAATGAAATATTAAATTCAAAATTAATGGATAACCTTGCTATCGAGCTAGATTGTATGACCCGCTACTGGGCAACTTTTAAATAGAGTTGTAAGTCCCACTACAAATTAAATATACATGCAACTTCTAAGGGAGTTGTAAGACCTGTCAATTAAATTCAAAATTAATGGGTAGCCTTATTATAGAGTCAAGTTGTAAGACCCGCTAATAAGCCACTTCTAATAGAAGCCGTAAGACCCGCTTTACAGGCTACTTTCAATCAAGGTTTTAAAAGGCAA